GAAATTTCAGTAAGTAAAAGTAAAGGGATAAAATTGGGTTGAAATGAAATTGAGTTATCATTGTACAAGTGTAGAATTAACATGATTAGTACGAATAAGCATTATTAATATTTATTTTATATTTTTATAGTAGGTTTTGATCAAGTGTAAATTGAATAAGTTTAAGACAGAGATGGTAAATGATCTGACCATTTGATCAAGATCCAAATGGTCTTAAGTTATCAAATAATGACTAGGTTATTTGGGTTATTTACATATAGAGTAATTCTATTGGTTGAATTACTTGTAAAAAAGTTATTGAACTTCATTATTATTCTAATTGATAATGTGGTTACGTATTAAAATTGAAATTTTATTAAGTTAATTAATATTTATGTTTTAAATAAAGCCGTTCATAATAATAATTAAATACTTTTTTATTAATTCACTTTCGCATATTACATTTATATGAAAAATTTAAAATTTTCTTATATAAATATAAAACATGGAAGTGAATTAATAAAATGTTATTCAATTCATAAAGATTTCTGAACATATGCAATTTAGTATCTGGAACAACTTTACTTAAGATATAAATATTAATTGATTCAGTAAAATTCTGATTTGGATATATAGTTACAATTATTTGATTACATTTTTAATAAAATTTAATACTGAATTCTGATCGGTTACAAGGTATTAGAATCTTAACCAACATATGTTAAAAATCAGAGTTGCAAATATTAAAACATCAATTAACATATGCTATGACGTATTGACGTAACGTATTACATTATATATAATCTTATATGTTGTAAAGGATGAGGTGGAAAGGTAGCTACTTTTGACCTTCTAAACGTCCGCAACTATATTTAAAATAACAAATGACCAGTCATTTGTCATTTGGGTTATTTCAGGTATTTACCATTCCTGGTTTAAGGATTAGTGTTTTAGGTTATAGATAGGAGCTGAAATTCAAAAAAGAAATTGAAACAACATTTAATAATCAAGTGGTATTGTTGCAATTTCCTTTTAAATTTTGCCACCCACCTATATTTCAGGTCTATTATGGTCAGAGATAAGTATTTCGATTGTTATTTCGATCATTGAGATTTTTGGATGATTTTTTTTTATATTATTTATCACAGCTGAAGCGAAGTTTTCTGAAATATTTTAATATTAAATTTCAAAATCTTTTGGGTCTGTTTTGTCAACTTTTTTTTTTTCAGAGTTAGATTAGGGTTAGGAGTAGTTTTATTAATAAAGAAGTATAATTCAGTTTTAATTGTCATATTTATTTTTCTTTTCTATTGTTATCGTTTAATTTTAGATAACATGTTATGTAATAATTTTAAGGTAATGTACTATGTAATAATGAACTGAGATAAATTATCTACATAAATAAAAAATATACTGGTAATACAGCCAACTCTTTCTATAATGAACTGAAGATTCTGGAAGAAAAAAAAAGTTCATTATAGGGAAATTCCTATGTTTTCTTAAGAATCTACGTTACTTTTTAACCGAACTATTATGAAATTTCAAAATTTAAGTTCGTTATATACAGAGTTTGTCATAGGAAAGTTCATTATATTCAGAGTCGACTGTAATATTAGTTACAAGTTCATTTAATCGGGTTTTACTGATAAGAGTTTTGATTACTAATTTAAATTTTTTTTATTTTATTCATAAATAATAGTAAAGAACAAAGGATAATAAGTCTAATAAATGAATTCATTTTAAGACATTAAATTAATCGCTCGGTGAGTAGGAAATAGTTTTTTTATTTATTTTTATATTATACGAAAATGTATGCAATTTTATTTATGTAGAAAAAAATATATATATATTTATTTATATACGTAAAGAATATATATATGAGTCAAGTGTTGCAAAAAAAGGAGTAAATCGACAAAAAAAAAAAAAGATCTTCAGAAAATCATAGAAAAAAAAATCGGATTCGTATCAAGTAAAACCGATCCTGCTTTTATTCTGAATCAATTTTATGCGAAAAAAAAAAAAATTGTTAATTTACTCTCTTTTTGCAGCACTAAACTCATATATATACTATAGGTAAATATACGAATACACATAATAATAAATGTTAGAGATAATTGTATAAGATATTCATATACCAATATGGAGCATAGATTATTCTGTATGTTTGAAATGCGAAGAAATATCAATTGTCATTATTATTTTTTTTAGAGATGATACATAATTCAGATTGTAAATATATAAATGGTAATATACTTATTTATTTAGATGTCTGATCAGATGAGCTTGGATTTGTTGAAGTTCCATTTAAGGCATTATTCGCAAAATCAGTTACTCTTGGGCGCGAATTGGGTTTGAAATATGGTTTGGAAGTAGGTGCAGTTTTTTTGCGTCAGATGTTTGCCTTGACTCTGGTGGCTATGGTTTGGGCAGCAGTATTCTGTAAATTTGTTTCAGTTGGACTTTCAGATTCCCACGAAAGTTGTGTTGGATTACTTTTCATAATAGTGTTTAATTTTTGATATTCTGGGAATGAAACATTACGTATATGAACTATATTATTATCATCAGTTATCATGAGTTCTCCATTAATATATAACACAGAATCTTTTTGTGCAGAGGCGGTTACATTTGTTAAATATTGTGCGGATGCAAGGTGATAATAGTATGTAATATTGATGTTATTGCTGCTTTGGTCAACATAATTTCTGGTCATAACATCGATAACTACATCTTCATTGTCGATTTTTGGGTCTTTTCGAATCGTCGCAGTCATGTTGATTAATATCGGGGATGCAGGTAAATTGTTAGGGTTGAGAGTGTTGAAATGAATAACATCATTCAAGGTAATCTTTTTTTTTTTTGTTAAAAAAAAAAAAAAAAAAAAAAAGTCAATTTATTTATTACAGTATTATATACTGTCATATTCATAATAAAAGTAAGATCCTTTTAAAATAGAATATCTTCTGTTATTTTGGTCTATATTTTCGACGATGCGAAAATTTCCAGTAGCGAGTATAACATCTTTGTCTTTAAACTCAGGCAAACTCAATTCTTGAATAGTATCATCGAGATAAAATTCAATTAAAATAACATTTAAGGGATAATTCAAACTTCGAGACCTTACAACAGCAGAAGCTTCAACTATTGAAAGATTTTTAGTAGGGATTGGTTTTTTTCGATAACTCGTCACGTAACATAATACAGTAACGGAAGCAGGCATTTTTTTTTTTTAATTATCATTAGTCGAATGAAGAATCGAGGAAAAAAAAAGTTGAAAAAAAAAAAATAGCGAGAACAAGACTATTTAT